CTGCGCTTGTTTTGAATTGCTCTTCTGAGTTTTTGGAGAGTTTTGGCAATACCTTTGAGAGTTTATTGTAGTGCCTCTTTCCAGGAAGTCCACCAAAATTACACCTTTTCTGTCCCAAAAAATAGTCGCCATCATCTTCCTTGCCGACATTGTTTGCATGCATTTCTTGGGTTTTTGGGGAGAACTTGTGTGCCCCCACTGCATTGATTGCAATTTCGTTTCACAGTTCACATGTTTTCACCCCATGTTTCGTCACCAGTAACGATGCGATCGAGTAAAGAGTCACCATCCTTATGGTAAGCGTCCAAAAAGTTCAACGCTGCAGCCATTCGCTGATTTTTGTGGTCCTCTGTCAAGATTTTTGGAATCCATCTTGCACAAAACTTGTGGTAACCAAGCTTTTCGCTGATGATTTCGTGCAACAAACTTCGCGAAATTTGTGGAAAACTCAAAGAAAGTTCCGTTATTGTGAAATTTCGATTTTCACGGACTTTAGCATCGACTTTTTCGAGAAGTTCGGCGGTCACTATGCTGGGTCTCCCACTTCGATCTTCGTCGTGAACATTGGTTCGGCCATTTTGAAATCTTATGACCCACTGACGCACTCCACCTTCAGTGATAATGTTGTCCCCATACACTTCACGAAGCTGCCGATAGATTTCTATCGGTTTACAGTTTTTTGCAGTCAGAAACCTTATTACTGAGCGCACCTCGCGGGATTTTCAATTAACGCAGACATTTCAAACCGTCACAGTATCTGAACGGAGCACAGCACGAACCTCTCACTAGCACGGCTAGATGCAGACTGAGCTGCGCAACGCTCTGACCCCAAGATGGCCGCGCTAGCCCCGCCCCTAGCGGACACAGACGGAAACCTAATCTACTTCCTGGATGGCCCTCGTATCAATCACATTGGTTTTTATCTGCATTAATTACTTTTTATGGTATAAAAAATAATGTGTTCTGAATATATGGTCTTTCACAAATAAATATTTTCTGATTAATACTAAGTTTTTAATAAACTATTGTTAAGAATAATCTCTTGTAATTAACTGAATACATATGTAAAAGCGAAATATTATATGTTCATGAATACCACCTGTGCCGAAATGTTAACTATATGAAGTTTTAATCTATTTCAATGCATCGTTTCTATATGCTTTGACCTGTTAAAACAGCAGCAGGTATAGAGAGCGCTACTACTACTACTACTACTTGCGAAAAGAACTCTTCCATTTAAAGGTGTTTAAAGAAACGTAAGTTAAAATTCAGATTTAAGTGATGTAGTTGGAGACTACACAAAAGGGTCTATTTAAGTTGCCTCAAGTATTTTCGAGCAGTATTTTAACGTCGGCTAGCGGAAATGGCTAAAGCCGGAATAATATCTAGCAAAGTTGGAATAGGACACAAACTTCAGCTAAGGCTTCTAAAAGCTCTATATCTAAAATATTCAAAATCCTTAACTTAAAAATACTCAAACGAATAATTTGCATTCTGGCAAGGATTACGGAAAGAAGTAGCTATAGCAAAGGATTAAAGATAATAATTGGTTAATTAATATAAAATCATTACAATACACATTTTAAATATCTTTTTAAATTTTGGAACCATAAAATATTTACAAAAATTTCTTAATTTTTTAAAAATTATTTAAAGATATATTTCACTCAAATATGTTTTTTAAAAAATACAAACTATATTCATAAATATTTATTTCGCTTAAAGTTTATTTGAAAAATACGTAAAATGAAATTATGAACTTGGGTTTCTTTATCAATTCGTCAGACATTGTTTCTTCTGAAACACATTTTGATTTCCATGGCAGTTATCACTTGAAACTTTGCGTGGGTACAAAAGGAAATCAAACCTCCTAACTGTCGCTGGATATTCTTGTTTCCCACTGTTAAAATTGAAGGCTAGACAACAATATAAACTTATATTTCAAGATGAATTTTTAAGGAAACATGAATAAACTACAGTTCTTTTTCTTCAGTTAAGAATATTGATGAGTGCTCTTTTATTGATCCAGCTATACTGATCAACTTCTTCTAAAAATATTTGTCAGGTATAGAGTTTGGTATTCTTTCGTACCATAAACTGGTACCAAACTTTTAACAGACTTGGATCGAATTATAGTTTCGTCTGAAAAGAACTACGTATTTTTTAAGAGGTTTAAAACAGACCTTTTTTTTTATTAAATGGCAACTTTAACTTAAACACACGACTCGTACTTAACAAGCTGAACCACCACTTGTGACGAGGTAACTTACAGCAGCAATCAATTAAAATTTAAATCTAAGGCTAGTACTACATATTTGATTTAACTCGAAATTCGATCAAAACTTCTCACCGGCGTAACAATTTAAATATCGGCAACAATGGGCAAAGTCAAAGAATTACTATCTTATCAGAGCTAGCAAAACCTAGTAATGTGGCCTCGGGAGGTAGAACCAAGCTCCCTGTTACAATCCGAAAACCAAATTCAACTTAAATACCCTCAAACTAATTTACATTCTGGTGAGAAAAGGAAAGAAGAAGTGACATTAAAGATCTGAGTCGTAAAACAACTGGTTATTCAAAATAATAGTAGCTCTACAAAAGTAAACAAGAGAATATTATCAATGAGCATGAATTTCTAGATCTCATTCAGTTTGAAATTATTTCCATTCTAAAATTTTGTAGCGAAAGAAAGTAGTTCTGTAAAGTTTGGTTATGCCCATCATTTCTTCTACATGAATAATTCTGTTTGACAGTTGCAAAATGTTGAAGTAAAGATTGATTTAGTGATTTATAAACTGAACTTTCCCCAAAATACTAAAGAAGTATGCAGGCTTGAAATCGTATTTACTATCTCTCCTTGGTGTCTGATGTTTAGAAACCAAAATCAAGACTCACGGCTTAAAACTGTGAATTGTATTAAAGAATTCTCATTTCAAGTATAACTAATCATGATTGTGTGGTACTGAACACCGGTCTCTAGAAATATATTAAAATACGATTAGCGAAATGCGATTAAAATACAGCTCTTGGGTTGTAAAGTGGATCAGATTAGTAACGCAGCATTTAGCAAGGACATGGCCTTTCCCACCTAGAAAGATGTAGTCGGATCATCGTGCTTGCCAATAATACTACTGAAATCAGAAATCAATCTTATCCAGACCTATCATATTGTCAAGTTGAAATTATTCACAGCTGATTGCTGAGTTTAATAACACAAAGAACCTGTTCTCTCAAAAAGAGCTTCCTGATTTCGAGCTTTAGTTTCTGAGTTTTTTTATGTTTTCAACTTTATATATTAAGCACATTCTTACTTTCCCATGTTAAAATTGCATAGTTAATTATTTGATAAGATAGCATTTTGAATACTCTCTGTATTGGAAGGTTGACCTAAAAAATAAAATTTAGTATCTGCATTCTTCAAAGAAACAATTCGAAATATTTCAGTTAGAGAGATTCATTTTACCGTGAATGAAATCTAACAATGAAACTGTAAACGTACAGTGATCTTAAGTGTTTATCTAATAATAAGCACACTATAAATAAATTATTATACTATGGTTTTCTGAATTTTCTTCTCCGAAATGACTTCAAATTTTGTTTTACCTAATATTATTTATAAAAAACTCTTTTTTGGTATACTATTTAAATCTGTAATTTTGGGTTTCTAAATATTTTTAGTGGTACTAGAATAATGATCTTTGAAGATACACTTTCCTTCAGGAATATAGTCTGCAGATGTTAAATCTGGTCAATAAGTGGGAATGGCTGAGCTTTTTGGCATTTTTCTTTTACTTGAAACTTCTTGACACGAATGGGATGGTGTGAAATACAATAGTCTTAATCAAAGTAGAGGGCAAGTAATCAATGTCATCATAATACAGATAGATTGTCATGCAGAAGAAACCAGTTATTCGATCGAACCTTTTCGAGGCTAACGTGCTGAATTCTCTTCAGAAGATTGTCCATTATTATGTCTTTATAAAATATGGAATTCACTGGCTATATCTCAGGAAAAGACTCTTTGTGAATTTTTCTCTTTCAAATAAAAAAGTAACCAAATATGTCTTTTAACGAAACTTCTGAAATTGAAGTTTTTGTGGAAGCGGTGAACCAACCAAAGCAGATGTTTTTCTTTTGTCTCAGGATCCTAAATAACGCCCCAAATTTCATCATTAGTCACAGTTTATTAGAAAATATCATGATTAATGCCTCTCATTTGAATTAACAAATAACAGACAGAAATTTGGTCTTCAGTTCTGCAATTAAATCATGACGAACAAAAACAAAAAAATCTTTTCTTTTTCAAAGATCTCCCACGAAGATTTTATGAGAAGTGTCTTTACTGATAATAAGTTGATCAGTACATTTTAAAGAGATGCTTGACGATTTTCAGCAACGCAAACGACTTTTATTGATTTTCTCATTTGTTCTAGACTGCAAAGACTACTGGGTTTAACATTAAGATCTTAGCATTCGTCACGAAGTCGTCTGTTACAATGACATACTTTGGATAGGGTTAACGCTTAAGTCTCGTGTGCTTCATACATCATTCCAAATGCCTCTTTTGCTGTTGTTTTTGCTTTACAGACAAATCTGATTGATGCTCACTCAGCTTTCGAATTTACGATAGCAGTTGTTCTCTGGATTAACTGTAACTCAGTTTCGATTAGAAATTGTTAAAATGCGTTGATAATTCTCTCCGTATGCAGGCAATATTTTTAAAAAGGAAGTTAACATGTCATAGTAATAAATGCTGTTAGGTTTCGATTAGTAGATTTGCTAGATTGTGATAAAACATATTATTCCTAAACCTATACAGACGTGCGGCGTACATGATTTTTCCTAATGATAAATTCAAACTCTTCATATTGTACATTTTGAAACTTGAATAATACAACTTGGTAAAGAATCCTATTTTGTATTCCAGAGTAAGACTGCGCCTAACTAAAATTTTCTCCTCATTATATGGAAGTGTAATTACTAAGAGAAACTACGAGCCGTTTATGTAAAAACAACTTTTATTTATGCTTAAACATAACAAAATAGCTGGTTATTATACATTTTATTCAATAAATAAAACAAACAGGAGAGAAACATTGTTGAGGAAACAGAAAATTTATAAATATAAATAAGAAAAGTTTTTCGTTGGATAGCTCAGAATTACCAAGGAAACATCCACTGGAAAAAAAGAAATTCTCACGCTAGTGAGGCAGGTACACATTTCCAGCAGATAGAAGCTCTAGTCGACTAATCCTTCTGTAGGAGAATTGTCAAGAAGAAATCGGAAAATATTGGAGTGAAAAGATGCTCACAACGAAGGCTGAAATAAAATGAAAATAAATCATTAGATAAATTGACAGTGCTGAAATATTTTAATTCATGAGTGTTACTTCTGAGAATATCTTACACAAATCGTTATAAATGAAAAATTGATAACTTGAAGATTTTTAATCTTTTATTATGTATTCTGAAGATATATAACATCCAAAACGTAATATTTAAATGAGGAAGGTTTAAACTATTGTTCCACTTCTAGCAGTCTCCAATAAATTAATTGAATATTCCTGCCTAAACCAGTGGATTTATTTACTCTTTTAATAGCCTTCACAAGATGAATTGGAAATAAATAAAATCCCAACCTTTTAAAAGTTATTTGAAATAATTTTTTATAGTCAGTTTGAAATTCGGAATTTTTCCAGGCTTCTGTATAATACATTTATTCATACAACTTAAAGGGTTTTCTAATTTAGCTCAATACACTCATTCGGCTTTAGCGGAAAACATAAGCTCCCTAAAACAGTATCTGTTTGCACAAGACACAAGACTATGTATATGTACTTATTTTCATTCTTAATTACTTTCGACAAGGAAAGGAGACGAAAAAAGTATTTGTGCATTGTGCGGACAACTTTCTTAGGCAAATCAACAAGTTTAACTGTCAGATATTGCGATATTCAAATAAATTATCCCACCTGATATTCGAAGTTCGAATTTTGTTTTGTTTTATAAATATCTTATGAAACTTACATACTTTATTTTTTCTAAAGTAGTGATAATGTCTCTGCCCTCTTCCAGAATCTTCACAATTATAATGATCTCAACTTGAAAACACTGTAAACGATATGTTACCGTACAGTTCCTCAAAGAATTCAAACTGTAGTCATATAACGTGTATTTTTTAAAGTGTCACATGTTTGATTTTTATATTAAGTATAATTCTTGAAGTACTGGATAACAGTTGCACTTGAAATACTAGAGTGTTCGAGTTCCATTCACTTGCATGTAATTTCAAGCCATTAAACTCTTACTCGGATTAGAAATAATTTTTAGGCTTTGATATATGTATCATAATTACACATTAAATAAACCAAAATAATTATTATTAACTCAACTAAGCCCTAAATTTGGGAGAAGATGAAGGAGTAAACAAACATTATCAGATGGCAGACAGATGTTATATAATTCAAGAATTCAAGAGATCTGGAAATTTTGCGAAGAAATATTTAAATTATTTGTTACATTAATGTTTAATAAAATGTATCACGTTTTGCAGCACCTTTCGACATTTAGTATTTTATTAAAGATATTAATGCTAATGTGAATAATAATAAAGCCTATAACATTTTTCAGTATCTTTCAATCAAAAGGTTGTTTTATTTTAAATATGAGAGACAATGACAACGTTCTAGAATGAACTGCATGTTTTACTGATGAAAACGTGGAAAAAATCGCACAATTCTTTTCTATCTATTTTGATAGTTGGATTTAAATTGGTTTTTCATAAAGTTTTCATTTTTATAGCACTCTTCAGAAATTTTTCTCATAAGGAAATGAATTAGAATTTTTATTGTGTACTTAAGATGTATATGTATTTATTAAGTAGTTTTTGAGACTTCTAAACAAAACAATTTAACCAGCCACATAAATCGTAAGCATCTTAATTACCTTTTAGCTCTCCTTAGATTACCTCGTAATTGAACTTTATTTCAAAAGAATAACTCATAAATTAAATTAGTTGCAGCATTTTTGAGAAACTTTCATTTTTTTGCATACCTATTATTGAAACCTTCTCGTATTTCACAACGCTCGTAAGCACTTTTAGTCTATTAAATTATCAATATGACTATTAATGATAGAAAATTGTAAGCTTTCTCTAAACAAAAGATTACTAAATTACAGCACATCATTCCCGTATATTTTAAAATAATTGAGGCAGTGGGAAAAATGTCATTCTCTATAAGTTTGTTCTCTCTGTATTCTCTTTTTCGTTCAGTTCAACTTATAAAGTTTCTTCTCAAAATGCTCAGTAAAGTTACATTTCAACAGCTTAATTTGGTTCTTAATTTTCATTTAACATTTATAAAACCAAATTCTCAATCATATATTTCTAAAATTATTAAAATCCTCTTTATTAAGCTTCTTTTTTGTAAAATCTGGAAAAGTCGAAGCTAATGTTTACTTAATTTATCACAATACCTCCATACTGCAAAATATGCGCGTTAGATTTGTTCTACTGTTTCTAGTTCGAATAGAACGAATATTTAGAAAGGTAGCATTTGAAGAAAATCTCAGTTTTTTAAAAGAGATTATACCATCAAGAATTCAAAACAGAAAACAAATAAAAGAGCGTGTTAAAAGATTTCACCTAAAGTTATTTGTTTATATTTAATCCAATTAGTTCGGGAAGATGTGCTTAACGCATATCTCTTTCCTCGATTTAGCATCGCCTGTAGCACCAAACATGCGAGAAAAGTTATTCAATAACATTCAACTTTCACTTTGAATATACTTTGGAGATTCGAGAAAACGTGCGCTGAATTTCAATGTCGATTCAGGTCATTGCACTTGCTATCAACTCCTTTTCATGCTGATGAAAGCAGTGAAGTCAGTTGTTGCTTCCTGACCCTATTTAAATGGATCGTTCTTAAAAAAGAAAGTAAACAAATTTCTAACTTACCAGAATAGAAGGAAAGGTAGAAGAGAAGCATGCTTCTAATATCTAGGGTGAGCAGGGGCGGCAAGTCGGGGTGCGGAGTAGACGGGAGCATGGGGAGCAGCGTAACGGGGGAGGGGTGCAGAGTATCCTCCATGGGCAGGGGCTCCATATCCGTGTTTAGGCTCATCGACAACGACTGGGTTGGCGTGGAGGACAACATCAGCTGGTTGCTGGCTTTCAGTTCCAGGTTCGTTAGTCTTGACTTCAGCTCTGTAACCGTGCTCATCGGCGACGTACTGTACTACTCGTTCAATACCGTGGAGATCCTAAAATGACAAATAATACTACATTAATGACACTGCTTTTATTTTTGTCTCGTGTTTTTTACGCAGTAATTGCAAAGTTGGTTGCATAACTATCTCAAATGAAGCCATGATTAAACACGTGTTAAAGCAACTGGTTTTGTAATGCTAGCAACAGAATTTATTTTGAGCTGAAAATAAACTTGCGAAATACTGTCTACACGACGTACCGTAGCAGATCCTTCGGAAAGCTTCAGATACTCATATCCTCGGAGGAACTCAAACCTTTTGTAAAATCTTATAAAAGCTCTCAATTGTTTTTTCTCTCCCCTCTTTTTTAGGTTAGTTGGTATGGAAAGATGACCTATGGTATATAGCACATTTCTGGCGTCCCTCATACTTTTATCTGTACCTGTGCCTCTGCGTATATTTAAATAAAAAAGTAATAAATATGCACATGAAGCGAAAAATATCGTAACGTGTTATCACTGTCATGTAATTCCTTTAAATCAAAATTAATCTGCAGCGAGTTATTTCTGATCCATGTTGAATTGGTTCGTTATAGATCTAATAAACGTTTTAATGGAGTCTTTGAGAAGTTTTTAAGTCTCTACGTTCGCCTCCATAGATATATCATATCCTAGCCCTTGCAACTGTTGCCATTGTACAAAAAATAAGATCTTTAACTAGACCCGGCTCCAAGACTTTCGTTATTGTAAGCTTTCATTAATATTAGCGCTTCGCATGAATTAAACATATTGATAATAACTCAAATATGTCTTTATTTGATACCGCTTATGAGAAAAATACAGAGCATATTTCTGCTTCTCGAGACCGAGTTATTTAATTCTGGCCAGCTCTGATAAGTTTGTAATTATTCGGCTTTGTGTGATTGCTGCCTATGATTTGAATTGTTATGCAGGTTAGAGGTTTTGCTCCAGCTTAGATTTAAATTTAATCATGTAGTCGTTGACTACTAGCATGCGTTTTAAAATTGAATTTCACTGTAACTTTAGATACATCTCCACAAATAGTGGATGATTCCACTATGCATTTATGTTCTAAAATGTCCACCACCAAGAAATGCATTTATGTTCTAAATTCTGTTAAACAAAAGATTTGTTTAAACCTTTTTAAGTATTTATTAGATAATTTCAGACTGAACGCTCATTCGTGTTACGGCTAGGGGCTCGGAATTAGTTTGTGCTTCCAAAATAAGCCAAATAACAAGAAAGAATTAAAATTTAGGTTCTTGTGTGTTTAGAATCCTTAAAATATAACATTTAGTTCTTTTTTTCATATCTAAACATCTTATAAAAGTCAAATGCTAAATTTCTAAGTTGTGTGTAATTCACCAAAATTTGGTCATGAAATGTTTTTAAAACAAACTTTTTTAAAGTGAAGCGCAGGAAAATGTATTTTGATGTTTTCAGGCCTGTATGGGAAAATACTGAAGTACAGAGTAATTTAACCTAAATCGTTAAGTTCATTCTTCTTCTTTGTAATCATCCGAAAATTAAAATTATTTTTCTGCAGGGAAATTTAAAAAAATTATATTTCAATAAATTGTATGAAAGTATGAAATTTACAAAACAAAAAATAAGACAATTCTTAAAGCATATACGCTGATGTTGTAGAAACTATTAGGCCTTTTGTTTTGGAGCAAGAGACATAAAAAATGTGCCTTGTCCTCGCCCGGACTTGAATTCCGGACCTTCCGATTTTTAACCGGACGTTTTTTGCAGTTGTACCGCAAAGACACGCAAAAGGAAGATAGAAAAGCCTTACATTCTCCCCCACTTTAAAGAGCGACTGGATAGGAGAGGACTGAGCCGCCAAATACCGGTGGTGACGAATAATCGTCCACCAAATTTTTAGTTTTGGGCAACACTTGTACAAACTTTTAGAATTTTTTTAAGGCTAGGAAACCGAAGAAATCCGCACTTCCGTCGCAGAGATTCGAACTCGGGACCTCTAACTGGATGTGCTTTTGAACTTTATCACGAACGCAAGCGGTAAGTAGGGGGGAATCTTACAGTGTATGCCATCAACCGTTTTGCTACTTTGCTACGTATGTACAATTCGAAATAAAGATAGGAAATTTTTTTATTCGAAACTGTTAACGAATTTGTTTTCAAGATAACAATAAAGTAATTCTGAGAAAACCTTTATGCGATCACGTTGAAGCTTATAGTTATGCCCTAGTAAATCAAAACCGCTAAGCAGATTTATTGTTTTTTGACAATACTTATCCACTGTGGACAAATATCGGTTTTAACACATGACTGCACACGCCTCCAGCTGCATTAAATTTCCCATTCAGTGTCTGAGAAAATGCTTCAGTTCTTGTAAACAATGCTCAAACATTCGCAGTTTATGTTATGAGTGAAACAACTTAAAGTACAAAACATGGACGTTTAATAAAGCACTTATTTCAAAACATACGAAGTATATGAAAAAGGGACTTAAAAAATGAATGATGTATGTATCAGATAAGGTTCTATGAGATGTTAAATTTGCGTCAGATATTTACATATTTTAAGGTTGAGGATGGGTCTATGAGTATATGCATCTGATGGAGATATGAAGTTACGAAATTATACTTGTTCATGATTCTCTTTCTTTTAAAACATGGGAAAAAATAAACTTACTTTGTATCCGTAGCTGCCTTGTACTCTTCCGTGTCCATCTCCGCTTTCCTTGCGGAAGGTGACGGTGCCGTAATCATCGTTGGTTTCATATCCAAAATCATAGGGTTGGGGCTGGAAAAAGGTAAATTAAGATGGTAATTATTCTTTGACTTTTATTCTTTGCTGACTAATTCGTACATTAGAAGCAAATGTAAGTATTATTTTACATAAACTTGACTGAAGGAAAATTTGTCAGACAAAACTATCTATAACTTTTTTTGAAAGTGCGTGGGTGCTTTTATTTATACATTGCCCTAATAAGATAGAGACAGAAGAGGATAGCTCACATTTGTTTGTTATCGTACACTTTTATTTAGAATAATATGCTTCTTTGAAAAGAATGGCCTAGTTTTTAACATCTGTTTACATTAGTGAATAAAAAAGAAATTATCGAAAGCGGAGCTTCAAACTTTTAGAGGTATTGTATGCTTTATTCTTACCAGTGAACCCTACGCAGCTAATTTTACAGTTCAAAAGCAAACAGTGATTACAGACGTTCATGTAGTATTTTTATTGCTTGTTTCTATTCATGTTTATTTCAAAATTTAAAATGTAACATTATTTAAAGATGTTAAAGCTCTTGTTTTTGTATCAGCGAATTCTTCGCACATCTAGAATATTATTGCAGCTAAATGTAACTTTTAAACAGAGCATATTTGTATTGACTTTGCAGGGAAACGTTTTTGTTATTTTTAAATTCCTTTCTTTTGGTTTAATAAATAATTATTCTTTTTAAAATTATTCTTCTGAAGGTTCTTTTTAGTTTATTTATATAGTAATTTTGCTTCATTTTAGTAATAATTACAACTTTTAAAGAGCATCAATAAGTTATTACTAAAATAAACTATATTTTGAATGTAAAAATGTTACTTTAAGATAACAGACAAATTATAAAAACTTACATTTAGCACTGATAAGCTATTACATAAATATGTTATTCTTAATTTCATTTAAACTTATTTCCTCGAATTTCATTAGAGAGAGATTTCTCATTCAATTAATTCAGTTCTCACTCCGCGGCAAAGCAAAATACATAAAAAATGAAAATATATTCATTAAATTTTTAAAATACAAAGAAAAAAGAAACATAAAACGCCAAATACAGTTCAAATCAGTTAAAAAACATTTTTACAATTAAAATTAGAGTTTCTAGGCGAAAATAAGCAATTAAGCCAACGGGCAAGAAGACAGATTTTTTGTGGGCACAAATTTGAAAGTTTAATTTTGGTTCCACTCCGCAAAAAGACTCTGAAGTTGGTGCACAAAATGACTCCGTTAACTATCCTACTAAGAGTTTCAAATGTAAAACAAATTTCGGCTTCATTAGGCTTAGTAGAACTTAAGCAACTTTTATATTGTTGATAATTCTACATTTATTGCATATACGTGAACTAAAGACATAAAAACCTTAACCGGAACATAAGAATAACAAAATTCAATCACTTTTAAAGCACAAAATGCTCAGTTTAACAACATATAATAATAAAAAAAACCTAGCTCACTGAACCGGGCAACAGAGTAGATTAGATACACACACACACATATATATATATATATATATATTTACATGCTTTTGATGCTTCTGATTGCAACCAAAACGCAAGGTGCAGAACTCTATGTTATAGTAGTCCCATATACAAAATTTTAACGTTCTGGGGGTACTCGGTTTTGAGCAATGCGATATACGTACATACATGCATACGTACGTACGTACAGACGTCACGAAAAAAAGTCTCTTCTAAATCCATTTAAATTCATTTTACAATCCGTTTTAGGAAAAAAGAGTCCTTTGTTCCGTCCGTACGTACAGATGTCACGCAAAAACAACGTTCAAATGGATCCGAAAGCAGTCAAAATGGATAATTTCGTTGTAATATGACGCCTGAAATTTTTCGCGATTATAATACTTTCTTTACTTCGTACAAGGAAATAAAAAAGATGACTCTTCTGTGTATTTTCATCAATTATCAATTATTTTTCAGACGGTAAAATAAACTAAATTAAAACATAATACTTCAAAATTTTATATTTCTTTAATTTAATTAAAAACCTTTCACTAAAATTAAGTTTAAAGTTTAAATTTGTAATGCATATCGTAAAATGGAACGCATTTATTCTATCAAAATAATTCGCATATAATTTCAAAAGTCAAGAATATCATATTATTGGTTTGACTGATATAAAGTGGTATGAAGCAGCTATGCATTTTAGATTATACTTTAAACTATTATATTTAAATGAGCATAAATATCCATGTCATTCGAAATATTTCATCCATAAAGACAAGTTTTAGAATTAACTTCTGTATACTTTATATAGTATAATACTTTTTGTAGTATAATTTGAGAATCAATTGTAACGCGCAGATTTATTTTGAATTAACAATTAATTATTTACTTGTTTTTTCCTGCTCATTCTTCTTTTTCTAAATGCAGTTATTCTTTCCAGAAAACATAAATGCTCGTAATATAAATTAACGTTAAGTAAAATTCACCAAAAGTATTTTTAGTTAAATGTGAAAATTAAATAACCATATTTTAACATTTAGAGAACTTATTAATTATCAATAGTATTTGTTGTATTTTCAGTTTTGCAGTTACTTAAAGTAGTTTTACTGTCAGCTTAAATTTTACAATTTTGTTTGTGTTACTTTAGATCAGTTAGAAATACCTTTTATCTCTATACGGTTCATTGTTTTGTCTGTGGATTTGTAAAGCTGATTACGTTTAAACGGGAAAGTTCGACATAAATAATAATAGTTTAACTGAAAGTCTGAAAAATATTGACAGCTACATATTGTACAGTAAGAAAAAACTATTATTTTTTGTTTCTGTCGTGTTTTCGCACATTTCATCTATTATTTTATAAGAAACCAATATTAACAACTTTGTTTTTAATGTACAAAAATATAAATATTACTGTTACTTACTGGGTAATGCTCTGGTTGAGCGTAACCATGAGCTGGTGCTCCATAGTGCTGGGCGAGAGACACACAGCAGCAAGAGCTGCAACAAGGATAACCTGCAAGAAACAAAAAAGCAAAGTAAAGTGCAAGTCATATAATAAAATTTCGTACGCTAAATTATAACATGAAGACATGAAGACTTCCAAAAACAAGATCTTAATTCAGGTGCTCAAACACTCTGTAGTTTAAGTAGTCAAGAGTATTCTTACCCCATAAAAATTTATTTTAAATTAAAAAAAAAAAAAAAAAAATTAAATAATTCAAATTTGGCTTGAAGAAGTGCTGAAGAAAATAAACTTCTGGCAATATGCTTCAAACATTTATCACTTAAATTTCATTATGGCTATCTTAAAAAAGGTGCTCTCTCCTTAATTAAAAAATCAAGCAAAAGAAATGACATGCTTGCTACAACCGAGGTAAAATTCGCAGACTCGTTCGAAAATAAAAAATAATATGTAATAAAACTGCAAACATTTGAAAGAATGAGTTTTAAATAAAGCGTCAAATAATGTTATAAATGTGCTTAAATTTTAAAAAGGGGATAACAGAAATTAACTGTTTATTGAGCTGTAGAAAGCATAATAATGTTTCCTATATTAAAATAGTGAAGATTAAAAAACTTTCAACAGCAACATGATAAAAGATAAAATTAGGTTAAGGAATAATCATTGCAGAAAACTAACTTCTGGTATATAAGTAACTGTAATTTCCATACGGAATTAAATTTCGAAGTACCTAGATTCAGAAAGAAAATGCTTTCAATTTTTAATAATGCATTTTTCCTGTTTGGCTTCACTGCTTATTGCGTACTCGTATTACAGAAAGAAAGCAATATTCTACAAAAAAACCGTACGTTAGATTTACTGTCCAGGAAAAACTCAACGAACTCTTCAGTAAACAGATTACTGTACCTCTTTTGTCAATTTTTAGTATGAGGGTGATAATTTCTAAACTTTTACGTTTATATTTTAAGTAAGAAACCATAAAATAATAGGGTAAAACCTTCATATATCATGAAAGCATATCAAATCTTAAGAAGCAATAAACTCTTTCTTCAGAAACGCTTTCCGCGTTAATGTATTTCTTCCATAGAAGTCCTAGATCAAAGAATTATCCAAAGAAGCTCAACGTACCTTTGCGATCATGGCTATAAGTGTTGTTGAATTATTCCCAACGCACTAGAATCGACTGGAGGAATGAATGTGAAATCGAAAGCGATCTGATCGTATTTATACTAGTTGAGCAGAATAAATAAATAAACAAGTTTGTATGTTGAGCAAAATAAATAAAAAAAAAAGTTTTGAAAGTCAAAACAAATTCAAATGATTCTACTGAAAGAGAAAATACCACCCTAACTAAATAAAGAAAAAAAATAGCGTGTGGTATACAGTTTCAGGTCTTTTTTTTTCCTTGCCTTCCAGCTTTCTTTGCGAGCAGGTCAGGCACCGCCTAGGCGTTCTTGATCAATGGGTTATCAATAATTGTTCCGCTTGACCGCGCCCTGCCCTGAAGCACCTCCTTGAAGCACTTCCCAGAGTTTGGAAAAAAATGCCGCATTTCTCAACTGCACATCAAGTTATGATAGGTTTTATCATATACTTACATCCTATTAATTCGCGAACCATGCTATATTAATATATAACATTATAAAATAACACACACATATATATACATATATATAAGGTAAAAAGAATATTCTAATGAGCAAAATTCTTGACCACAAAGGTCTTCTTTAGTTTATATTAAATTTGTATTTAAATTTAATTTTTTTATTTAAATTCAATTTATTCTTATGATGAAAACATATATATATATATATAATATATGTAATTAGGATTTTCTTTATTCATATATAAACTCTATATCAAATTTTCTACAGAATTCTGTAATTTTTTATGCTTTTCTCAAATATACTCTTTACGGTGTGAAACTTTCTTGGCTATGACTCCCCGCAGACGACCATCTCTGATTGTCACCAGTATTTATAATAAAAACATAGTTAAATAAAACATCACTAATAGTCATGGTCTCCAAGACAACCACCGCTGCAGCAGATCAAAGCGAATCAACGATAGTCGTCATAGCGAGGTTTTCCTCTCTATATATGCTTTAGATAATGCTATATTAAATTAAAATTTTCAATTATAAATTTGTAAAAAATGGTTTTTAAGTTTTTAATTTGAATTAGAATCTTTAGAATTTAAAATAAAAGTTTAAATTCTGATTATAAATATTGCAATTTAAAAAAACATAGGATCAATTTCCTTTTATTTTAATGCTTTTACGCATATAATAAAATGTACTACTTTGGAATTTTTAGGCTCGTCTTTTCCTCCCCCATGAATTGAACCAGCAGCGAATTCAGATTCTAGTGAAAGTATGATTGTTTATAATAAAGGAGAATTCGTTTGAATCTTCCGTCGATATCCAGTAAAACAGAATTTTAATCAGATTTTGACGTAAAAAGCTTATCGTGCCGTGAATTTTAATAGCTCACTTTCATTCACAAGAAATTTTTATTAAAAAATAATTTAGTTTATTTTTTTTATTATTATTTACTGGTGTTAGAAATAGAAATTTGCATTTCTTCCGTGCAGGATTGCGCTGAGCGACGAACTATATAGCTGTGCAGAAGATTTCTGCCGATGAGCAGAGACGACAAAAATTCTATAACAAATAAAATAAATAATTATGTACTATAAAAATAAAATAACCACAAATTAACTATTTAAAAATAAATAAAGATAATAATTAAAAATGCAATCTGAAAACTTAAGATTATAGTCTAACTCGTCCAATAAAGTCCAAGAACAACCAATAAAGTTCCAAAAGGTCTAAAACATATGCAACAAAGACTCGATTTATCATTCCCACAGTATCGTTCGCCATGTTTATTTCCGAATGAAGCCTTCTGTAAATAAAATATTTATTCCTACTTCCGCCATTTTCCGCGAAACCTTTAATCGACATTTTCGATCGACTTTAATCGACGAAATTTGCTTTAATCGACATTTTAGAACGATATATTTCCCGTATTGATTGTTGGGAAAAATGTTATGAGATGAATATACTCTGTTTTTCATTTATAAGAATATACTCTGTTTTTCATTTATATTACACTCTGTTTAGATTATAAATCTGGCAGCATAGTAATGTAGTAAAGTTCCACATAGGGCTTTAACTCGCAATATTAACAAATGTTATTTTTTTTACGTTTACGTGAGTTTATTACTATAAGATTTCAAGAATTTCAGGGTTAATTTCAGATTTTCATTTGCAAGCATTTTGGAAAAGAAGATAAAGATAAAATGACTCACTGAAGCTACCGAGTTTAAACAAGTTTTACATAAATTTAAAGAGTTTCTCTACGCTGAAAATGAAAAAAAAATGAACGTTCTGAGGCTACTCGTTTTTGAGTTATGCGAGATACGTACGTACGTACGCACGTACATACATACGTTCGTACAGACGCGAAGAAAAATTCTCTTCAGAATTAATTTTAAAGCAGTTTTATAATTTTTTTTTTTTGGAGGAAAAAGATTCTTTTTATTTGTCCTTACGTTACAGGTATCACCGCAAAAACATCGTTAAATTGCATTCGAATAGCGGTCAAAGTGGATATTTTCGTTGAAATATGCTGCATGAAACTTTTCGCGATTACAATACTTCCTTTTTACTAAGTACAAGGAAGTAAAAAGCAATTGAATTTTTATCATAACATATAGAACTGCGTTGCCATATTTTCTTATTTATCTCTGACATTTTTTTATTTTCTAACAAATTTATATGTAAAAATATTTTTCATGAAATTTATTAACTGACATTTTTCGAATTTATGGAAACATTTCAAAATTTCAAAATATTATAAATGAAGATCTTAGTTCTACATCGAAGAATAAGCGCAGTGTAATAAGAATTATTTGTCATACAAAATTGAAATAAACCTGAATTGCTGACCTAAGATTACTAAATTTGTATTAAAGTTAGTCCCTTTCCTCGACTGTTGTACTTCAGGCTAAATAAGCCATTTTTTCGGCTGGTCGAATTTTGAGAGGCTAAATCAATGGAAATGGTCAACTTTGATATTATACACTTAATTGTTGTTAATGCTCACTATTTAGTGTGCCCCTCCAGCAGGATTACAGTTGACGCATTTCTTGAGAATGAAGGGAGTGGCCCTCAATGTAATCAAAGAGTAAATAGGTGAAGAACTTTCAGCAACTATTCATCATTTTTATTCAAACTTAGCGAAATATATGATATCCAATATTCTTAACAAGCACTTTATTTATAAAAGGATTCCATTAATCATTATATTTTGGATTATCTGCCCTTAGTAAATATATTTATGCGAGAATAATAAAGCATTTACGAATAAATGGAATACACGCATTTTTTAAGAAATACCTTTTTTTAAATTGGCAACGGCGATAGTTTAGAAATTCTAAAGATGTTAACGGTCATTTATGTTGGTTTTTTTGGCGCACTAGAGCAAAGTAATTTTTTAAGCGTACATTTCTTACATGAAAATGTTTATTTATTGTATTAATTCTAGTTGATGTCATACCCACACTTATATTAATTACTTCATATTAAATGTATTTGGTTAATGCAGAACGTGCATCTTAAAATATTTTAAGATGCACGTTCTGCATCTTATGCATCTTAAAACCCGTTTATTAAAATAAACGGGTAATAATATAAAGAACATAACAACCTTTTTCTTGCATGGATTAATTATGAAAAATAATCGTAACAGAAGATTTACCATTAAATATGAGATTAAATCTACAATAGCTTAAAAGATGGCTATTTTTTAAATTTCTCAAATAAGACTTTTGACTATTTGAGTTCTTTTGAAACCAAAATAGTTAAAATAATAAACGTATGTTTTATAACTGAAAAGAAGCAAAATGTTTTCTTGGACTACTCTTATGTTGTACTTTCTGATTAGAAATTTTATTGAATGTATTATTAAAATTTAATTAAATGTGGGGGCAATTATTAATCATGTATTATTTAGGAAATTCAAGCTTACTGAAAATGAGTGTGTCTA